AGAAGGCCAAAATGTGGACAAAAGTAGAAAAACCTCGTGGATGAATAAGCGGTGAAAAACACACCACTTTCATTGATAGATAGACAGATTAGAAGGGCAACACAAATGGAATAAAAGAAGGGCTAAGTAGGCAGAGAAACCTGACCAGCAAGTAAGGGACAAGACAAGTTCCACATGTGAAATGATGGAAAATACTCTCAAATGAGAGATATACATATTAGGTAGTAGAAAGAGAGACTAGGACTGATGCAAAGGAAGAGGTGCCTTAGATGACAGAAGATAAAACCAAGACTGAGCTGGCCAAAAGGGGGCTATCAACAGGACAAACAAGAAGAATCATGTTGGATATGGTGATGAAGAGGATACACATACAAAAAGAGATGAGACAAGTCCTGATTGAGGTACTGGGGAAATATGGTATTGAAAGGAGTGGCAGAGGTATCAATCATTGGCAGGCCTCACTGGGAACAGATCCAATGAAAGACCTGAGGATGGAGTGATTACTCTGTAGGAAGAATCCTGTCTGGCCAATAGAGACAATTCACCACCAAGGTCAAAGCCTTCAGGACATGACATGTGGTTAGACAAAATGGTTTTGAGTAGGCACAAAACAGAAAGTTTAATGGATAAAAGCAAAGGTTAAAGGAGCAAGTCCCATTCTGATTACTAATATGGGAAATAACTGCAGAATTATTGGAGTGGATCATAATCAAGGGTCTACAAGTTGAAGTAGGAAATAGGAACATGCCCAATGGGCAGCCAGAAGTTCCAGAATATTGATGTGGAAAGTACCTTCCACATGAGACCAAACCTCTGAAGGTGGAGTCTTCAAGAGATGCACCCCAAACTGTAAGAAATGCATCAGTGAAGAAATTGAAATCCAGATGTAGTGACAGCAGTGGAATGCTGACTGTAGTTTTGGCACAGTCCTTACAAAGAGAAGGTGGCAGCATCACAAGTGGACAAAGTATCATGAGTATATTCTATTGGTTGCTCAAAGTCTATTAAAGAAGCCTCATGTAAACTCGACTTTGAGGAACAAGATGTTCAAGAGATGTGACAGTCCCAAAAACAGATAGAACCTTTAGCACAGAAAGTATAGAAGAGACAAATGGGGAAGGCTGAGCCTGATTGAGTCAAGAACTAAAATAGACTCCAAGTTAAGCCACATACTGGGTTGGAGTGACCATCCAACCCAGACGAGCAGCTTCTTGGAGGAGAAGTGACATGGTTAAAAAAAGAAGCCTCCTGAGAAGAGGTGAAGAAGAGCAAATCGTCCCTGTAATATCGGAATCAAAGTCCAAGGCTGTGGATATAGCAAGCAAACACTCCTATGAAGCAATGCTGAAAGGGAGATCTCAAATCTGGTACATCTGATCCAGGTGAATGAATTGAAGAAAATGTCAGGAGGATGGGGCAATCAGAATATGTAGAATGGCATTTATGATATTGACCTTGGTCATTCATAGTCCAGGAGAAAAGGACAAATCTTAAACTGAGGAACAACTAGAAAGGTCAATGATGGGACACCAGTCTCTGGTCTTTTGGGGGACAACAAAAAGGCAAAAATAAAACCCTGGAGAGGAGCAAAGTACCTTCTTGATGGTTCTCTTGTCCAAATGATCCAATATTGCAGCTTTTAAATGCAGAACATGCTTAAAATTAAACGGAGGAGGAAAAGGAACAGGGAAGGGAGACAGAGAAGGAAGAGAGAAGTGAAGACAAAAGTCATGTGTAAGAAATTGAATGACCCAACATTGACTGCAGATGGTTTCCAGAGGTCTGCAAATAGAAAAAGACATGCTCTCATGGAGCTTGAGCCAACTGGGTACAAAAGGAGGTAATCATTGATTGGATGTGTGACAGTCCACTTGAAGGGAGAAAGAACAGCAAGAAGAAGTAGAGGGGCAAGAAACAGAAAGAGAGAGAGGGGTGGAGAATTCACAGGGCCAAGGAACAGGCATGAATACACAAGGTTGGGAGAGAAAAGAAACCAAAGAGAAAAGGGATGACTGGTGTTGGGCAGCATTGGCCCTTCAATGTATTAAGAGCACTTCCAAAGACTTCAGGGAAAACAAAGTGAGCCAGTTGGCAGTCACAGAGGTAAGAATGGGAAGACAAACAGCAGAGAGAAAAGTCTCACATCCTAGAAAATCCCAACAGCAGAGGAACCAAGTAAGCAAGGACAAAGCAGAAGATAAAACACTGTCCAGGATAGTGAAAAGTACCAGTTGTAGATCCCCAGAAAACTATCAAGATTATGATGTGGGACTTCAGACAGGAGATCAAGAGAGGATAGGTAATGAAGGAAGTTTGTAAGAAAGGGGGCAAAGATGGGAAAAATGAGTACTAAAGATAGATATTGGGGACAGGGGGTTAGCCCCCACCACCCTCCAAGTGGGTAAAAGGGACTTCAGGGAATGGCCATAAGCCATGACAAAGAAACCTTGGAATCAAGACATTTGAGAGTGTGAACAAAGCTGGTCCAGAAACATGTCAGCATGGACACATACGTCTGAAGAAGAAGGAAAAACCAAATAATCCTCAGCATGAGAGGCATGCAGTAAGGATCAGGAAGAAACAAAAGACATAGGTGAGAGAAAAAGTAAAGAATAAATTTAAGAAACCAAATCCACACGGATTTGGAGGAGAAACATTGTCCTCTACAGGTAAAGAAGAGCCTAGTGCAAACCAGGTAGGTGGAAAGAGCCAATCAAAATCATCATTCTCATGGCCTGGTTCAGAAAGAAAGGAACACACTTCTGATGTAAGAACAGAGAGATGAGGTAATGAAGGCACTAATGAACCCATGATGTGTTGAACAAGGGTAGTAATGTCCTCCACAGTTAGTGAGCCTCCAGTGGCCATAGACCAAGTAGGGGCAGTGTGAGCAGCATCACGAGGACCTAGAAATAGTAGTCACCATCACTTGAGAATTCATTGTTGTTAAAGTAATTCTCTGGATCATATTTTTAAATTAATTGAAAAGCAATGTAGTTTGAAACCAAATAAAATGTAATGAACTAAAGTTAAAACTAGAATAAAGAAAGTTCAAATCTCACTAAATTGAACAAATATTAAAACACTTTTTTCTATCTGTAAACCTAGCAATTAAAGATTTAACTTTAACTCTCTTAACATGGGCTTGGTCAATTTGATCAACCACGTGACCTCTTTGTACTCGTTTAAAGTCTTTAGAGATTTGATACTACTAACTTTTAAAATAGTATGTGTAACTTCACAAAATTTGGAAGTCTTTCAGTAAACATTACAAGTCTTTCACATATAAAAATCATATTTTTAGTCAAGTATTTTAAATAAACTAAAAAAAAGACTTGTCCATGAATATATTGAGTATTTGTTTTGAATAATCTGTGTGCAAAGTAATTTCCATGTTAAGATTAAAAATACTTTTCTTCAGCTCAAAAAATCTCAGATTTGATTTGTGTAATCTCTAAAACACCCTCAAACTTTATATAATCACTAAAAAAAAAATCGAAATAAATCTAAATTAGTATTTTTTGTATCTAGAATGACTTCAAATTGTAACATCAAAATACATTTATTTATCCCAAGAATCTTTAAACTCGTAAAAGTATGCATCTATATATACTTAAATTTTATTGTTTTATTGTTCTTTGAACTGTGTCTAACTACTATTCGCACCATTATAAGTTGTACATTGCTTGGGAAACATGGAGCTCACATTACATTATCGAATTACATAACCCATGAGCTACTCATGTGAAACATCTTTATTATATTATTATTTATTTTACATAATCTAACCTTATCTAACCTAAAGAGATCCCTATTTTTACATTTTAGTTACTTTTATAATAATAATTAAAGAATAAACATGAAAAACAAGAAATATAGTGCTTACCCAATCTTCTTTTTTCTTGCTGTCGACGACACTTAACCCTACTTTTTTATATACTGATGGTAGTAATGCACTAAATAATCTTTATTTAATTAAATAATGTAACAAAGGACATAGAATAATAACATGCAAAAAGCAGGCAATGTCAAATAACTATCACAATTTTTCTAGCTTTCTAACTATGAGACAAGAGCTGTTACAAATTCATCCAAGCTTGTTTGATGTGTTTCCCATGGAAATGAAGATTGTACTGAAAGCAAAATTTATAATTCTCTTTAAAGATAAAAATGTAATATAATGTCATCTGATGGATGAAACTTTCGGCTTTCTATTGGTTATAAATAATACAGTATTAAATGTAAGAGAGAACTATTAACAAATCCTGAAAGAGCGGATGTGACAGCTGGCTGAAGAAAGAGGGGTATGATTTTCTATTTGATGGCTCTGTAACCAAACACAATTGAAGGTTATAAAAATTATGGTTTGTCTGAGCAATGATGATTTTATAGTGAGTAATTTACATTGAATTTCGTAATTACTGGAGAGGTGGTGGGTAAAATAGAGAAGAGGAGATGCCTAGAGAAAATGTGTCACAATTGGGGAAATTCAGGATTTTTTAAAAATATTGCATTATAAAATTCGGAACTTAAAACTTATATAGTATTAAAGTATGGATTAATAGCTAAGATTTTATACTATACTAATCAGTATAACATAAACAAAAAGTAGATTAGTAAAATTTTGTATGTAAGTCACTAAAACCTTGTGATACATGCAGTAAAGGATGCCTGTAGCGATAGGATTAAATGAATGTTTACAGACATTTTATAGATATGTGTAAAAAAAAGTTTTCTTTACATCTAGATCTGGATAATTTTTTTTTACACAGATGTCCAATTAATTATTTTACAAGTCATCTTTTGCTGGACTATTGAATCACTCAATGTTATTTTTAATTACAAAGAGTAATTAAAGATTCCACAGGTAAATTTTCTAACTGGTAATATGAAGCTTTTACAGTAGTCTCTTTCAGTTCAAACATATCAAAGAATAGTAATTTAACTATTAAGATATTCAATGCTTAATTCCTATATAATTATAATAAATATAAACTCACAAAATCAAGATCCACCAGACTCTACTGAAATCTTGAAAAATCCTTTCTCCAACCTGTCTTGCATTTAGAATCAAAGCTAGTGCCCTGCAAAAGGATTCATATCAATTAAGCACACAAATTAATTATCAGCAATTGAAAATCTAAAAAAAAAAAGTCACTGATGTTAAGTAGCATAAATAATTTTTAAATTATTTCTTTTAACAAGTTTTACATGATAATGTATTGTTTATTGTCATGGTTGGTGGCCTATATGATTATGCAAATCTAGTATTAATTAGTTGTTTTTTGTATTGTTTTCTAAAGGATTCTTTGATTATAATATGTAATTATGTGTTACAATCTATAATGGTAATTTATGTGCTGGTACATTGTTGATTAGTGTTTTGCTTGAAACAATATCTAAATAAGTCCAAACTCTGAACTAGAATGGAAGAAAAATTAGACCTTCAGAATTTCTAGCATTGTGAAAGAGTAAGCATTAAATCAGAAGTCAAAATACATAATGACCGAACAACAGCTTATTTGATAACATAAAAGAAACAATGTCTGTGTCCAGTTTAGCAAGTGACCATCTTAATAAGTACTGTTTACAGTTAGATTCAATGAATTAGGGCTTCATTTACATTCTAAAGTTTAAGTTATGAAGCAAAAGGGAGATTTAAAAAAGAAGGCTTTACCTGGAGTTAAAACTATTCTCAGGTAATTTATACATTTTAATTGCTGGGAAAGGCAAAACTTTAGCAAGTTATGCTTCACTATATTGCAGAACCTATAAATAAGTGAGATTGTTCTAAGTAAAAAAAAACATGTTTTCACAAAAATAATCAAGCTTTTATCTCTCAATAAATTTAATTGTGAGCCATTCATTCATCCAAAATTTATCCATTTAACAGATCAGCTTAAAACTGCAGAAAAAAAGAAAAAGAATCAGGGTTTGTATTCATATGTTCTATTAAAGTTGCACTGTGCAAATCCTAAAAGAAAAGGCTTACAAACATTTGAGCATTTTGAAGAGCAATTAGTGGAAAAAGTGGCCATTATACTACAGTGCTCAAGTTTTAGGGTCATACTTTGAACTGAGAAGAGGCTATTCTTTCAATTTGCTCAAGGTTTTGCATTTTCAAGATATCCATGATGCTATCCTACTTCAAAATTAGCAAATGCTAAATAAGCAGACCCTGCAAGTTAGTCTTCGCATTTACTAAGAGTGTACAGCCATTTTGTGGCAAGTTCATTGTGACAATTTTCCTTTAATTGTCTTTCTTGCTCAAAGAAGTTTTGTGACTGAGCCCAGCTGGAAAAAACTCAAAAAATCATTAATGAACTGAAGTGTTTAAAAAAAAAGTTTTATAAATTGAGCATATTTTATCTTTCTCATTGTGTACACATACTTTGCTCACATTTTATTTTGATCTGATGTGACTAAAGATATATTCAAAAGTATATCAGTGAATTAAAACAATTTGTGATCAGTGCTGAAATGAATGTAACATGAAATAAAAAGTGGATTGCAGCTGCACTTGTGTTATTAGTAGCAAATGAGCATTTCTGCATAGTATTAAAGGCTACACTGAGATACAAACAAAGGGTACTGCAGCACAACATTACTTGGTGCTAATAATCTTCACTTAATATCGAAGTTTCTGTATTTGCAGTGCAAGATTATAACCAGAAAATATTGCTAACAGTGAGTGTAACCAAGTACTGAAACAAAGCATCTGAATCTTTATAAGTAAGAAAGTAAGTACAGTAAATATTCATTCCTGGGTTGAATTGTAATTATGATCTATGTAGGTAGCTTGCTTTGATTGGAGTTTAATATTAATTTAGTGCTTTAACACCTGCCACACGAGCCAGCCAGGGGAGGGGTAATTCCAGAAACTGGTGATTTAGGGTTATTTCAAAATATCTCAATGAAAGAAGCTTGGCACAACTTCTAAAATGAAAAAAACAACTACATATTAATGCAAATATGATATGATGAAATCTATATAGATTATATAATGGTACCATACTGGGCATCATACCATCCTTATAATATTTTCTCTTCATTGTAGAAAATGGCATTTTTCATTTGAGGATCACTAAGGAAATCATCTTGTAATGTATTATGCATCTGCTTCAACTTCAACAGTGCATCTTGGGCTTTATTGTGCCATTAATTTCACAAAATATTAAAACTAATAATTTCTTATATATGATTCCAATCCCTGGTTTTGAAGATGACAACAATACAATTGTGTGCACTTTATGTTTCACTGTCAATGCAATAATAAGTTGACAAATCTCCAATTCAGCTGGTATATCAAACCAATTGGGATATTTTTGAAGAAGTTATTCCCTCATCCAACTTGGATCCATGATTTAGCTTTATCACTACACTTAAACCATCACATGCACAAACACATCTAAAACATTTCAAGCATGTTTCAATACTACATCATTTTACTTTACATTTACAAGTTAACTTCTCCATGTTGGCCCTCATAGTCGTGAGTTAAGGTCTCAGATTTGGTCCAGTGACTTAGACCTTGAAAATAGTGCCAAACATCTTCTTTTGTCTAATAAAAACAACCCAAACTTTTCCGGAATGACTTTTTTTTTATTCACATCAAGGTGCCAGGCTGGCTCATGTGGCAGGTGTTAAAAGTAAATTATATGCTTTAATGGTTTTTTTATTAGTTTAAAATTGAAATTGTTGGTTTTAACACATTGTTATTATTTTTGCTGAAACACATAACAAAGACTCAATGACATGTGAAGGATCATCCTATTGTAACATATACTGTCACTGGGTAGGTTCTATTGGATTAGTTGATAAAAACAACATGAAGTCCCATCCACATAACAATAACAAATTAATTTATTTCTTCAATAAGTGAATAACATTTGTTACAAGTTACATTTACTTGAAGACCTAACTTCAAATAAAATTTAAAATAACTTCTAAAAACTTATGGAACACCTAAATCCCCCCAAAAATCTTATTTGCAGAAGTTCAATCACAGATGCACTAACCTTCACTGTCAAATTGCTGTGGTAACGATGTCTATCATAACTGCTAGCCTTTCTATAACTTTATTTCTACAGTATTAAAAATTTATGTAACATTTTCAGGCTAGTTGTATGTAACAGTGTTCAATTTGATCACTGTAAACCTAAGACATGGGATTGCAACATTTCTCCACAGGACACCAAATTTGTATTATCCATGGAAATTAGTGATAAGTGACCTTCACCTGTTGTTAGCACAACTTTCTCATGAGAACCGAGAGGTAATTTTGGAATCTTGCATTTGATTGCCTATAGTTCGAAAAGCATCATTTCTTTGCTCTTTGACTGGACACGTGTATTTGAATCTTAGTAGTTGAAATAGTTTTGTTCTAGTTGTCATACCATTCATAGTCAGTCAATTAAACAGTATTATTTCAAGTTCAGTTATGTTAGTGTGTACAACATTTCTATTTTCTTCCTTGTATTGCACAATTCAATCTTTTTTGTTTTTACAGCTTCAAAATTCATCTTCAACACATCAACTTCTACACTGGAACAATTCAGTCTGCATTCATCAAACATCAGTGACTTACTGCCAGATAGATCTCAGCATTCTTCAATTATTGTGATTGTGATTTATCTTTATGTAAGTTGTAACTCTTTACTTAAGAATGCCACGCTGGCACTGAACCAACTCAATCGTTAAATCACTGCTTCACTGATTTTCATATTTACATCATGCTCTTTTTCTACTTACTACACAAAATTTCTAGTTCATACATTCTCATCATTATATAATAATGAACTCCCTCTAGCAAACAAACATTTAGATTAAAATATTAGAACTATAGTTTACAGCAATTCATTAACTACAAGAGTAACATAAACATTGATTGATCAAATTTGATATAATAGATGTACTGCACTTATAGTTTTCCTTGAGGAAATGTATAATATTAGAAGGCACTGTTTAGCAACCTGTTAATTCCTTGAAGAAGTAAAAAGAAAAATCAGTATTATTTTTCATTATACTTTCAAATATTTTGACCTTTAGTATTAAAGCAAATCAATTAGTTATGTAGAATTTCACTTTGATAAAACAGAGATTAAAATCAGTAATGGCTAGGTGGCAAAAAAATCATTGGGTTCTGGTGTTTAGACAGTGATAATCAGGCACTCTAGAATATGTTACCATTTGTTTAATATTCTTTTTCATTTCATGTTAGAAAGTGTAATTATTATCAATGGCATACATTTAAAACTCATATGCTCTGACTCTTTTTTTTTATTGTCCTACCAGCATGGTTGGTACATTTGCAAGTAACTTTTAAATGAACTAACAAATATTTGCCATTGGCTAAAATAAATTTGGTTTTAAACCCTGTAAAATTGGTAATTTCCAGGAATATTAAGGCCTTAAAACTAGTTTGTTTAATTCTGCACTTGAGAGCTACCTGCACTAGCAGTACCTAATTTCGAAGTGATAAACAAGAGTAAAAACAGCTAGTCAACACCACACATCATCACCTCTTTTTAGACTGAATAGTGTCAGCCAGTCTTATAATGTATCCATGACCCAAGTATGGAGGACTATGGGTTGGGAACCATAGAACCTCAGGTCCACAGTCAAGCACTCTAACAACTGGGCTATGTTCACCACTTGAAACTGTTATTCAAAAATGGTAGGCTTTTCAATGATTATCACACCCCATATGAAACTTGTGTATTTTATTAAATCTTCAAAAACATTTTTCTGACTGAAATCATTAAACCCTATAATAAAATTTATTTAAAATGCTTAATATCAGGATGTTATCAAGCCTTAAAAGATTTAATTCCAAATAATTAAAATTTTCAGTTTGTTTGTGTGTTTCTGGTTAAGCACAGTGGGTTATCTGTGCTTTGTCCACCACAAGTATCAAAACCTGAGTTTTAGCATTATGAGCCCTAAGACTTTTACCCGAGAAACTGGGAGGCTTTCAGTATTTCAGTTGCAGGATAAATGGCCAAATATTTTGTTTTAGATGTTAGAAGTATGTTCAAAATATTGTTACATGTGTGTGTGTGTAACAATCTTATTTTAAGAAGACATTAATATATATACTTTTCAGTTGTTAAAGACAGTATAAATAAAAACTGTTGTTTGGATAGCTGTAACTAATTTTAATAAATTCAAAGTGGTTGGTGAACATAACATAAGATCAGCTGTATGATATTTCCTTTTAATCCAGAACTTAAAAAACATCATGATGTGCAATGTTTCAGTATTAGCATTAAACAGAGAATTTATACGTATTTCATTAACATATATTGTACTTCATTTCACATACTTTCCAGCTTTTTCCACAACTGAAGTAGTTATGTTGTTTCCATTTTCATCTTTAAGACTGTCCTTTGATAAATCATCAATGATAGCTGATCCTAGTTTAGTGAAAAGTTCTGGGATGCATCTTCCTCCCACTATTAATAGATTAAAAACTGAGTTTATCAAAGTGAAAATAAGATGTTTAATTTAAATAAAAATTCTAAAAACCATATAATTGTCTTAATCAAATACCACTTGAATATAAGTGTTAAAAACAAACTTTTGTACAGTAACAAGGAATAATAATCAAAATTTAATAAAAGCTGTTTCCTGAGAAGTTCTGTAACTGAAAAAAAATATTTTTTTGATCATTTGAACTAAGAAATTTTAAATAAATTAACAGAACTCATACAATCCATACAACTATTAAATTTTTCAAATGGTCTTCACATCAAACATTATTCACACATAAATAAAAACTCGAAAGTCTGAATACTTTAAATTATATTTTCAGGTTGACTTTATGAAGTTTGCTAGAAATTATAAACAAACAATTTTTATTGATATTATTAATAATATTATTGACAAGTTGAAACAGTTTGAGAAAAAGATATCCAAATGCTTGAAATCATACTATCATCTAAAAAATGATTAATATATTTCTTCCACAATAAAAACAGTTAATATACACTCCTACACAAGTCAAGGGCACATAGCTTTGTTAGTCCTCACCAGTTGCAATCATAGAAACACACAACACAGAATTAGTTTTTTCCTCATTCCTGACATACAAATTCATTGGGTTAGCTCATTCTCATAACCAAAGCAAAATATTAATTAACTGTATTAGTTTAAACTCGTAACATAAAAATAAAGAAAACTAAAAAATCCACTCTTAAGCAAATAATAAAGTCAATAATGAGAACACGGCATAAAATATCTACCATATTTTTCGGAATATAAGACGCACCCCAAAGTTTTGGGGAAGGAAAAGCTACAGTCGCATTTGAACGATTTTTATTGAACAAAAATTAAATTTGATACTTTTAAAATTAGTATATATTGTTCTAAACACAAAAGAGCTCAAAACATCAAAATAAGAAAATACCGTAAATCAAAAAAAGGTTTACTGTTATTTAGTTTGGTTCAAAACCTACAAAATCTTCATTGCTTTCACTGTAATTTATTTTTTTATTATTTAGGGAGCATTATAAATAGTTATGTTTTTAAAAGAAAAAACTATTATTGTTATAAATAACACATTCAATTGAACTAAACTATGCATGCCTATTTAAATATATTTATACATGGCTTGTGTATATCGTAATATATACATATATATTATTCATACCTTCGGTGTATAGGAACATATACACATAACACATTCAATTGAACTAAACTATGCATGCGTATTTAAATATATTTATACATGGCTTGTGTATATCGTAATATATACATATATATTATTCACCGTATTTTTCGGTGTATAAGATGCACTTTTTTACCCCAAAATTTGATGTCAAAATCTGCTTGCGTCCTATACACCGAAGGTATATGTAATACTTGTTCACTTGCCATTATGATTTGATAAAGAATGCTTTTAATACTCATTTCTGAAAAAGTACTTTATGAATATCAGGAAAAGGAAATTGGCAGTACATGAAATATGAAAAGTACTCATTATGATAAAAGTAATCAATTAGTTGTTATCATTTGGTATTTGTTTTTTTACAGCAGCTATATATATTTTCAGCCATACTTTTTCTTATAAAGCTCTAGAAATAATTAAATGAATTGTAATATCATATTGACTCCTTTTCGTAAAGTGAATGTCTTTTTCACACTCTGGGCCTAGCATGGGCAGAGATGAGCATTGAAGTCGAAAGTAAAGTGAAATACATGATTGTTTAGTTGTAGTGAGAAGAGTAAAAACTATTGTAGGTACTGTTTAAAATAACTTCTTATGTTAAAAGCAAGAAGGTTCAATCTTGCACAGTTCTGGTCAGGAAGGATATCAATTCCTTATCAGAAAGAGTTCATAGATGGGCTGTTATAGTGTTACCCAGTTTAAGAAGTTCAAGCAATGAGGAGAGGACTCGTTACTGGTAGATCAGTGGGAAATGGGCAGGTGCCTGAGGACTGTAGAGTTGTTAATATTTCGGCTATTTATCAAAGAATAATATGAGTCGTCCTTTAAGTTATAGACTGGTTATCCTTATAGTGAGATCAGTTCTAGATATTTTGACAAGAGAAGGCTTACTAAATCATTTAATGAAATGTGGTATCATTAAATGAAAGCCAAAGGGAGAACTTGCCTTACTAATCTCTCTTTTTGTGTTTGTGGGTGGGGGTGGGGGGTTACTTGCTATCTAGACAATAGAGGAGGTATGGACTTGGTGTATTTAGATTTTTGGAAAGCTTTTGATAAACTCCCACATAAAAGATTAGCTAAGAAAACAGCAACTACATGGGTGGGGAAAACTAGTTAATTGGATTGTAGATTGGTTGGATGGGACAAAGGAAAGGGTTGTTATTAATGGAGTCCAGTCAAGTTGGACCCATGTTATTAGTAGAGGGCCTCAGGGTTCAATTCTTTTTTCTTACTTACATTGATAGGTTATAATTATTGAATTAATAAAGTTTGCCAATGACATTAAATTCTTGTTTATCTGTAGCTGTATTGAAGATGTTGAAGTATTATTGGTAAGTTAAAACAATACTGGAAAGATGTTAAAGGAAGCACAAAGTAATCTATTTCGGTTATGATAATTTGGATAACTCATTTAACATACATGGGAACACACTGAACATGAAGAAGGAAAGGATTTTGACATAGTGGTGGATAAGTCACTCAAGGCATTGAATGAATGTTACTGTTACTCAGTAGTACAGCTAATAGAATTTTAGGAGGTGTATTTATAGACATATTTATCACAAAAGAGGTAATTATCTCTATAGAAATCAATAGTTAGGCCTAACTTGGAATATTATGTAGTTTTAGTTTCTTTATCTAAGAAGGGATATTGACATATAGGAAAGGGTTCAGAGGAAGCCTACTAACAGATGATGTTATTAAATTTTATAAGACTATCAGGGGAATTGATAGGATAAAGACCTCAGGTTTCTTTGTGATGTATTCAGATGTTCTGTACAGTAATTTCGTTCCGTTAATATCTTTTGAACTACCTTTAACCCTCAGTTACTTGTCTGATTGACTAAGAAGTTTTTAAGAACACATATGAATGACCCAATCTTAATATCAGTTAACTTAGGTTCTTTTATGTTTTTATCATTACGAGATGGGATATTAACCTTAACTGTAGTGTAAAGCTAGATAAAGATAAGATCATTTTCATAGTAGACATTAGTGTGTTAAACTTGTAAAAACAAAAATAGGAAGTATGTAACAAACATTTACAAACTTTAAAGGAAAATATTATACTTATATTATGAGTTTTATACTGTTATTAAGTCAGTGATAAATTGTTAGTGGTTTGGGGAGAGTTATAGTTAATAAGACACTTTTAAGATTCAATATTTCACCCCTGTAGTTATACCATGAAGGGTATTGTACCCTTGGGTATGAAATCCTATTGAGAATCCTATTATATTTCAAACATAAGAAGGTGGAACATACATTGTTACTTTTCATGGGACTCCAATTTCCTCATATATTTCAGATAAATTCTGATTACTGGATGGAAATCTGTTAGGTTTGTATCCTAAAATTATTATTCTGTTATTAAGTAGTTTTATTACTATTTTTTGCCCTTTTTTTCAAGTTAGGTAAATCTTAGATAGTGTTGTCTAATCTTAATGATGTTGTTGTGATATTAGTTTGTGTAAACTTGTTAGAGTTTTTTTTATCATAATGTTCTTAACTGGTAAAATTATGACTGACCATTAAAGACTGAACATAAAGATCCAAGTAAGATAGGTTAGTACCATGTTTAACCTTTCTACTTGTATTATGAAGATAATAACATCACATCTGTGGCTGGCATGATTTGTGTATGTATCTTTTGATAGTTTTAAGTATTATAACTGTGATGTGTTGAAAACAATAGCCTAATGATTAATTATTCATAAGACAATGGACCAAAATGTAATGTGAGTAAAAATTGTGAGCTCATGCAAAAACTTTGGATATGTGATGTATCCATATTGGTAATCATAGGGTAAATTGATGTTACATTGTACATAACATACCTCTAAGGAAGATGGAATTGGCTGGGAGCTTTTTCATCCTAGTACACACCGACTTCTTAAGTGTGAAGTAAGCTGCAGTTTGTAATCCACAGATGGCTTTAAAGTGACTGAATTATTATAGACATGAAATTATATCATCACAGGAATTAAGTGCACCTAACAATTACTGTTTCTTTTTTGAAGCTACCTAGAATGAATTATATTTCAAGTGTTAACTACTATGGTATTATTGGAGTTAAAAGTCTGACATGTAGGACAACAACAACAAATTTATTGTTTTATATCTTGTTAACTACCAGGTCAGAAAACTTTGTTACATCTGAGAAACATTTTTATCTATTCCGAGATGGCTGATTATGGCAATGATTCATTACTGTCATTCATAAAGATTCATGAATATATAACTTTAAATGCACATGAGCATAGTAAGATTTGTTTGTTTCTCAGACATACAGAAGATCCTCCTTTCTGTTATGGAAGATTTATTACACTGAAACGTTTTATTTTCTACTCCTTTGAGGATTGGACTAAGTATTGGATCAGCCAGTTTTATCCTCTAAAAACAATAACAGTTGTTTTCTGATGTTTATGGAACATAATAAAGCTCTAGAAGGAACATTAAAGATTCCTTTAGTATAATCACATTCAATGTGATTCAGAGATAAGGTATCTGGTACATAATTTAACTTTTCAGGTTTATAACTGTAAAATCAAAATCTTGTAGTCTTAAAATCCACCTCATTAAGCATCCGGATATAAACCTATAGTATTTTCTGACTACAATGTTATAACTTGGCTATTTAATCATCCAGAGCCCATATTCTAAGTATGGTCAGTAATGTTCAAGAGCCCAAACTATAGCTAGACATTTCCTCTCACTTATAGAGAATTTACATTAATTGGGATGTTTATATAAGAGATAACATCTTCAGAATTATCAGCATCT